AAATGAAACCACCAGGATATGGAGCGCAGGTTTTGGTCCATGTTTCCACTTACTAGGGATCCATTTTGGTACCGGTTTTTTGAGCCACAGCCACTTGAGTCAAACTCAACATTTGGAGAATTGGAGGTAAGAGACAATCCCAGCCATGATGGCAGCGGAGTTCCACCTGTTCAATGCTTTGGGTTCACCATTTTATTTGAGTATACACGAGAACATACCAACCAAAAAAGAGTACCTTGAAGTAAGGTCTGTTGCTGCTTTGGGGCATTTTTCTGGGTTCTAAACAAATCATTTCTACAGCGGTTGCATTCGTTGCAGGGTCCCATTTATTGCGGACTTGGGGTTCTGCATCCCAGTTCTTTGTAGGTGGGCCTCATCCCGCAAGAGGCGTTCGATTCCCTGACCTTGGTGGGTGTTTCTGGTGGACATGTGTGATCACTTGTCCGGTGAATCCAGCTTTGGACCTTTGCCTTCCTGATCTTGTCATGTCCAGGTTGGCAAGCGAGTCTTACTCCGCTATGTCTGGATTTACGGCATGTCGTGTGCGTGTGGTGGCTTCACTTGCTATAGTAGAATCAGATTCCCAAATTTAGGTGCCCAACTGGCAGAATTCCCTGTACGTCAACAGGACATGATCGCGCTGACATAGAAAAGGCAAGCAGCCATGTAGTTTGGATGCCAATGTAGCTTGGCAGAAAACTTATTGCGCCATGTCCAGAGGTGAGTGAAGCAGGGTAGCGGTGGGGATGTGTGTGAGTGCAACCATGCTCCTTGCGGCACCGTCTGATCGAGAAGGAAACACTGTTCCATTCTGCCAGCCGACAGCAGCTTGTGTGGCCCCGGATGTTGACTAAATCAAGGGTCCCTCTGGCTTCCATTTAATTTGCTTGAAGATGTTTGTTATTTGCCCTTGTTGGTTTTAGAGGCACTCTATCACTACTGGACATAGTTTGATTTTGTCCAGGTGGCTTAGGCAAATGGAAGCTGGTGTAGAAGCTTTTTTCATTTGTCTCTTGAATCCATCAGCAAGCAGTCAGACTGGCAAACACTGGGTTCCGTGCGCTGGGTGTTTTGGCAAATTAGGTTGTCTCCAAATTTTGTTACTAAATATGGGTGATGTCCTTTTGATGTTCCACTAAATAGTTACTCCCAAATCAGGTAGCCTGAAGCAGCACTCCCAAACTCCTGCTTTTATAGACAGTACTTGGGATTTTGGGCATGGGAAAAAGGGGTGTGCCGGAAGACAACTGCTATAAATTGAGCCCTTTCAAAATTAATTGACTTTCTTACGCGGAAAAAGCGAGGCTGAATTTGTCCACTCGACGCCAGGGTGCTGGCGATGTGTCGCAGCTGCAGGAACTGGGTGCAAAACTGGCGGGGGCATAAACATTGAGTGCCTGAAAGCAGAATATTTCGAGGGATTCGAGCGTTTTTTTCTTTGGGTACACTTGATTGATTTTCCCGGAGGAGGGTAATGTTGATGAGGTCACTTGAATGGACGACAGAGGAAGATAGGGGGGGTAATCGGGGTGCTTTCAGGGAGGGATTACATCCTTTTGTGATAAAAAGCGCATCGCTCGTAAGCTGCGAGCAAGATGCGCATGGAGACATGCTGTTACCTTGGAGCTGGCGTGGCTATTTTGCGAGGGGCATGTCGTGGGTAGCATTTAGGAGCAATGGGCAAGTTTACGATAATCCCTATCAGTTTAGGATTGACCCCTGTTCATTTGCTGTTGGTATTGTTGGGCATTCCTACTGTGTTCAAAGCTAGCGATCCATCTAGATGATTGCTGCCTCCTTGTGCAAGTCTTCCTCAGAAAGGTTGCAACTGGTTTTGACACACACGCACACAAATACACACAGAGCCACCGTTCCTGGGAAACATGACCTTTGCGCTGAAAGTTGTGAACGATGACAGGCAATCTCGATATTGTCCGTTGGGTGTCAGATGTCGGCTGTGAGCTCCAATTCGGCTCCAGTATGATTTTTTTTGGGAACGCCGAACCCTCAAAAAGTTATTTTGGACATGAATGCAATCACTACCGGGTTCAACCAATTAAACATCCAGCCCCTTTGGCTGTCGGCCCAGCTTTCGATGTTGTGGGGCTTTGGAGTTTGGGTAAACCACAGCGTCACCGGTGCAGGTTTTGTTTCTGAGTCACACCGTTTGAGGTAGTACCGTCTAATTTTGCGGCACAAACACCCTCCATTTGGGCCCTCGCATAGGACTACCCTCTCTCCCACAAGCGTGCGCCTGACAGGGGGTACTTGCCAGAAGAAGTGCATCTTCCGGGTCTTTTGCCGTAGGTGCCATGCGCTATCGAGGGGACGAGTAAATTCCCCGACCCTCACTGCATGGGTGCCAAAAAGTAGAGAATATTCGTTAATCTTTCCCGCGCGGAAACCAAACGGAATGGATACCAGGCCCCCGATTGCTGGCAAATGGTCTCTCAAGTGACCCAATGGCTTGGCAATTCGGGGCATGTACCAGCCATTTGGGGTGCGGGCACGGGTAATGTTAACCCCTTATTGATGAACCCCGGTTTATCAATATGGGTGTTGCCCTCCAACAGTCATGATTCCCCCCGAAACCCAGGAACACACCCATCTATTAAGAACCAGGGCGGTTTATTCATATGGGGTCAATTGGTCAAATCTTTCCAGTCCCCGTATTGAACACCCGGCTCAAAGTGCCGGCCGCAGGACGCCCTAGCTCACGCCCTTTGCGGAGTGGAAGGAGTGCCACTGGTTTTGTCGGCACTTTTTGCAGCGTCGGAGTATTTCCAGACTTACAGCCAAGTAGGCGAGTGGCACCAATTTGATGGTCTCCCTGCTGGGGAAAGCATTGGGTCGCTTGTTTCTCCTCCTTGACTGTGTGCCTTTTTGTGTTTCCATCAATAGCAACAACTCGTCCGATTCAATTGATTGTATTTCCATCATGCGGCTGTTTGACTTGTAGTTTGAACCAAAAACAACTCGTCGACATGTTGCGCTCCAGGTCTGGTCCAGAGATGGATCCTGGAAAACATGTAGGATATGAAAAGCTGCCAGTTGCTCATCCTGAAACCTTGTGGTTCCCCTTGCTGCGGTTTTCCATGGGCGCCTCCTTTGCAGCAACACCCTCAGGGCGTTTTGCGCTTTTGCCAGGAGTCCACACGGAGGCGGCCATTCCCGAGGCCGGCTGACAGCTCCGGATGCAATCGCTTCGGCTGCTGGAACCCTGAGTTTCTTTATTGGACTTCCACAAGGTCTTGGACCTGAAACGGAGGCTTTTTGCAGGGTTGCCGACTTCAACATGACCAAACCCCAGTGGTCCAACGACAATTTGGGCGTCTTGGGCCCCTTTGACACCGGGTACTTGGCTCGTTGAAACTGGCCTCGTTCGAAAATTCGATGCCATGGGCTGGCAGTGTGTCATTCGACCCCCAGCAGGATTTCTGTCACCCCCAAAATCGCCAATTGGAGGTGACTCAAACCATTTGACATCCGGGGAGCCCTTGGTTGATGCCTTTTTTATTGCTGTGTGCTAAGCTCAAGCTGAAGAGATCCTAGCATACCTTGCTTGGTTGGATTGCAAATCACTTGGAACGGGCTGTTACTTGGGTCCCAGGTTGCTCGCAGTGCACCGGCTTGTTGGATCATGTTAGTGGCCAACCACAAGCTGACTTTGTGCCATTCCACTCAGAATGAGATATTGGGAACGTCGCACCCCCCCCACGCTAGAATCCCAAAACCCCCCCTCCCGCCGCCCACCCCCCCCCAGCCGCCCCACCCCCCACTCCTCCCCCTCCCTCCGCGGTGTTCAAAATCCCGCTGGTTGAGATGCCCAGTGAACCATCAGGAGATCACCACCATGGACGCTCGGGAGGTTCGCACCCTCTTGGCCGGCGTCCAGGACTTTGCGCGGGAAAAGAATGCGGCGAAAGTAGATGACATGTTTTAGGGAAACCAAACTAGCAGGGGTACAGGAGGAACCAGATTGATACGGGAGGATTCCCCCGTTTGATGCACCTTGACTAAGTTTGATATGAGAAAGGGCGCCAAGGGAATGCCCTCATATCCCCCCGCCCTCCGTATCCCCGCTTGTTCGTTTCTCCAACTGTTCCTGGTAACGGGGATAAAAACGAGGGCGAGTTGCGCTATCTACCTTCACGTCCAGAGATGTTGCAGCCTCTCGCAAGCCAGTTGAAGATCACCATGGGCTCCCAGTCCATTCGGAGCAACCCCTCCAGTCAAGGCACCCTCCCCCCAAACATCGAAGAGGAACACGCCCATGGCACATTCCCTGAGTGATGTGCCCAGGCTCGCTAAACAAACAGGTGGGTGTGTCTTAAGCTTGGGTAGTGGCTGTGTCTTTGGGTTTCCTTTCAAATCCAACCCCAAAACCGGGATCCCTCAACAAAAAGAGGAGGCATGCATATCAAGTCATACGATTTTCATGGCTACCCGCGAAATCCGTTCACACCCCTTTGAAACCATGGGAAGCCACTGTTTGTTGGTATTTACAGGGGAAGCATCACTTCAGGGCTGCTTAGGTGGTGCAGGATTTTGTCTATCCACAGAATCCTAAGCAGGTTTGACCGTGGCAAGGGGTTCGAATCTGGCATCCGAACCACTGCCATGCAGCACTTCTTGGCTTCTCGCAATCCCAAGTCGAGTGCGGCTCAAAAGTGGGGCAGGTCGGCACTGAGTGCCAGAGATTTTCAGAGTTGCATTTAACAAATACGCACCCCACACCCACCCACACACACACCACACACACACACAGACATGCGCAGTTTTCCTGCCAGCTGGGTAATTTGTTAGTAACCGGCATGAGCCGAGCAGCTGTCCACCCAACATTGCTGTGTTTGCCATCAACTTAGTTTAAGCGTAACCAAGTTGATGCTGTTTTGACAAGAGATACAAGGTCATCATTTGGTGCTGATATATACACATGGATGTTCGCCCCAACAGGAGGTGGCCCAAAAAAATGGTTGGCGTTCGATTTTTTTGTTTTTGGGGTGACCCTTTCACTTCCCTTCAACCCAGCGGCATCCTTTGCCCATGGCAAAGGGTCCCAAGGGCCCGCCCAAGGGCAAAGGCAAAGGTCGGGGACTCAAAGCCGCCTTTCCGCCGCTCGCTGGGCTGCTCGCTGCGTCCAGACAACCTTGAAACCAAGAACCACCCGGGCGTCACCGGGCCCCTTGAAACCGGGAACCCGGGTCCATAAGAACTTTTATCAGCTTTTTGGTTGCAGTGCTTGGGCAACCTGTCTGCTTTGTGGTTGCAGTTTCTGCTTGGGGATGTTAGTTGCATGGTGGAAAAAGCCTTGTTGCAAGTTGTTGGCGTGCTGGCAACTGGTGAACTCCTCTTGTTTTCCGTGGAAGTCAGCGCCAAACGGCGGCCATCAAAAGACGCGCCACCCAAGAGCGTCTCCTCCCCCGAAGGATGGGTTTGTCTCGGTCTCTTGCATTTTCCGAGACGTCTTCTTCCATTTGCTGAAATGAATATGTTGTTTGTGATCCCTTGTTTGTTTTAAAGGGAATCGATTTCACTACTGGACATATTTTCTCATTTTTTCCCGGGATTTTCCCGGGAGCTTAATGCACGTCTCAGCCCAGGTCCCGGCTATCCATCAGAGGCGGGAGATGAAGACAAACAACTCGCTGCTGCGAAATCGGCAGGGAAGGAGAAATGCTCTGTTGCCCAGTGGTGAAGGTTTTCCCCTTTTTTGGGTAAGGGTTCCCCTTTAATCTTAACCAACAAAAAAGGGCGCCCTTCTTTTCCCCATGGCCACTGGGCATCTGAGAATGGAATGGCCCCGATTTAAACCATCCAACTGGTGGTTTTCTTGAAGCGTGCCCCCAAACGGATTACCACGTCCCCTACCTATCGCACCAGCAAGGAAAGGGAAAGTCAAGAAGCAAAGAAAGGGAGAAAGACAGAGAGAGTGCTAAGTTTCTTATGTCCTGAATACCCTGACTCTAGAAGCATTTTGTTGGGTGCTGGGTTGATTATTTTCGTTCCCGCTACAAGAATCGGGCCATTTATCATGAGCTCACCGACTCGGGGATATGACAAGTACGTCCTGACTTGGGCTTTTCTCATTCCCGGTTGTTGACCTGAACATTATTCAACCCTCCATCTGAAGAAGATGTCCCACAAACACTAAATGATGGTGGCTTTTCTAGGGGGAGTGAGCTATTTTGGGAAGACGGTCTGTATTCGAGTAGCCTTTGAATCGAGTATCTGCAGGAATTCAGTTTCCGTCCCGTGAATAGCAACTCGCCCAAGAAAATAGGTCAATCACTCACTCCCTGAGTTCCGTTTCGGACTCTAGTCACTTTTTGGGTTTGGTTGCCATTAGTCAATTTGAATTTTCGGTAAACATGGTAAACAACAACACTCGATGGGGAGTGATATTCACCTCTTGAGGCGGAGCCCGAAGAGTTTCTTGAGCGCTACTGCCTGGGGAGGCCCAAGCTCCGAACCGAACTGCATGGGTCATGACACCGATTTGATGGGGCGATTTGAATAGGGGGAGGTATCCCTGGATAAGCCTATGATAAGCAATTGGTAAGGCCTGATTGTTCCGGGAAAGTTGTTTGGACCTCCATACCGTTTGGTTTATGGCTTTGCCCAAAGTGGACGTCGGGGAGAAGCGCCCTTCATGAAATGGTTGTTAGAGGGAAGCCAAAAAGGAAGAAGGCGTGTCCCACTGTTTCTTTCGGAAGCACATATACGTGGGCTTGAATGATGCAACGAGGCCACGTTCCACCTCACAGAAAGAATACCTGCGCTTGTGGGGGTGAGGACGGATGATACTGTGTTCAAGTGAACGTTTCCAAGAGCTCACAAAACTACTTTTGCAGGGAAGAGCCCGTTTTAACCATTATTAAGAGGGTAATTTCAAGGATGCCACTTGAATGATATGATGAGGATCCAACACCAAAGCATTGTGGAGACGCCCATATCAGCGAAGGGCAAACAATGAATCTGGTGAGTCACGCCGATTCGCCACTGAAGGCTACTTAACGGATGTGCACATGTGCGTGTGTATTGAGACCAGACATTGAACCCGTTTGAGTGGTTGATGTCCTTCCGGCAACTGGAGTGGCTGCGGGTCTCGCACAAAAGGCAACACATGACATCCTCCCAGTTTTCTTTCATGGGCCAAAAAGGGGGATATTCCCATCACGTGTTTAGCGTGGCAAAGTGGATCTCAAGGTCTTCAATCCCTTCAATGCCTCATGCAACAAGTTCTTGCTACTTGTATGTGCGTGTGCGTTTGGAGGGACCCCTTTTTGAGATTGGTTTGAAGGGATGCCACAAGGAAAGCCACTCTTTTCTTTGGGGGTACGCCTGTCTTGAGACATACCCATTTGGTGTTCGGCCGAATGCTATATCCATTTCCGAAGTAGGGCCAGTGGATCACATTCGGCGCGGGGGCTTTGGTATGGTCATGGAGTGAACATGGCCACATGGCAGTTTGGAACATCCCCAAGGTCAACCAATGCTACTGGGGGTATGATACATTCCCCAGAGGCTTGCAATAGACAAACATTGAGGCCCCTCATATCCCTATGAGATGTTCCGAAACCCTTGTTGGGACCTGTTTGCGATCCCTTTCTTTCCTGGATGCCAAGTTGCCCGAAATTCTTAATTTCCCCACAAGCAATTTGAAAGGGTAATCGGATATGTGTTTGATTGTGCCAGATTCCCTGGATGAGGTGTTATGTTTGTCTCTTCAGAACTGGTTCTCTTGCTCCAGGGCGGGTTTTTTGGTTGGTTGGTACCCTAGCAGCCTCCCCCGAATTGGTGGTGTGGTTTGGCGCTTTGGTTTGGTTAAGACACGGTCTTCGAGTCATTCGCCTACAAGGGGGGGCTTGAAATGATCCGCAACCCCAAGCCATGGGGAGGGCGGTGTTTCCACGGTGGTGTTTTTGTGAGAACAAGGTCTGGTTGCTTTGGTGCATTTTGGTGCATGTTGCCCAGGGGCGTTCGGACTGGACAACTTTTGCCAACTAATGAAACGGTTTTGCGTATTGAACCACTAGAAGTTGAACTTTTGGCAGGGGAGCAGTAAGCAACCGATGTTGGTACCCCCTAGCACTCAGTTTATTGAACTCTCCGTCACGAATTTCCTCTCGGCTTCAGGCGGAGCTTGGTGCCGAGCGGTTCATATCGACTGGCTGCGCATCCCAAGAAGTCTGCGGACGGTCGGGGGCTCAGGATGGGTCTTGTCTCCAACTGGATGTGTCTCTTGTTGAGGGTACCCAATTTTGGGAGGTAAGGGAAACCAAAAGGAGAACCAACTTTTGGGGGTTCCCGAAAAAGACCACTCAACTAATTCTGTCTCGAAATGGAAGACCCCCCAAAACGGCGGTGTTTCGTCGTGTCAAACTAACCTGAAAGGGGTACCCTACAAAATACCGGCCAAATGGTTCTGTCTCAAATTGGGAACTCCCTTTCGCTCTGTGGAATCAAAAGGATCTCGAGCCTTGAGTTTTGATGAGGTTCCATCCCAGGCGCCCAGAAAGGTTGCATGCTGTGCTTGTTCTGGGCCTCCAAAGGTTGCACTTGGAGATGTGTGTGGTTTAGGACCTTCACCAGGTTTGCACCATCTTGAGACAGGGAATGTTGACGGTCAGAGGATGATGTCGTAAGGAAAGAACCAAACTTCCAAGTGGTTTTGTTTCAGACATGGGTTAGTCAGCAATCCAGTAGTCAGCTACATTGTTCATGTATGTGTGCTTGCATGTTGACTGGGGGACTTTTGCTGTATGCAGCGATTGTTGGGGGTTGGCCCGAGGAGATCCTAGGAGGTTTCTCATTGCCCCATGATTTCTGGATCGGAAATGCACAGCTGCTGCACGTGCTGTTTTTTTTTTTTCTTGCAAAAGAGTTTGAGGGGTGGGGGGGTTGGGGGCAGCAACTTTTGGGGGTTGGGGGTGGAGCTTTTCCCAGGGTACCATGCCTGGTCAAAACCGCAAACCACAACACAGGAAAGTTCAAGAGGGCGCGATGGCCATTGGAAAGCGCGGCGCCTAATTTTTGCCGAGAGGTAGCGAGGTAGCAACCATTTTCGAGTTTTCAGGGTCTCAGTGCCGTCTCAACTTTATGAGGGGGCACGGTTTCGTGGGGCGCGCGCAAATTTAGGGAGACGCGCGTGCAGAGCTCTTCTTTACGACGCAACAAGTTCCAACCGGCTGATTCCATTCGAGGCCCTCCTCCGGTATGCGAGGGCGAGTACTACTTCGATGTGGCAACTGGCAAGCTTCAAGCGCAGGATTCGTCCGCAGAGAAGATGGAGACTTTCAGCGGATTTATGATGTATGTGTCACAATTGGGCTTCAGACCCCCAGTAGAATGAGTGATATTAAATAGTGTTTCTGCTGTTTCAGGTTGGTTTCCCTCAAGCCAACCGCCCTCAAAGCAAGAAGCCCACGTCGGTTGCAAACGCAATGGGTGGAGCTCTAGATTCGCCATAGAAAACAGGAGCCAAAGATTGTCTCATGTCGCGAAACTTTTGGTAGACGAAGCCTGGGATCTTCTGAGACTCAGCTCTTGATCATGGCTTCCACTACTCAAGTCACTATTCTTAGAGCAAAACGGGGCTTCTACCTTTGTCAGTAGCTATGTTGCGGCAGTACATCCCATGAACCTTGCGGTAGTGATTTATGGGTAGTGGAAACCATCATCAGACAGCGCGCTTGACATGTTCATTTCATGGCTCACGACACACGCCGGATAGGCAGTCAAGCTCCAGAAAATGCCCAACAGCTTTGACCAAGGATCCTGAGGTAGGAGTATAGCCTCTTAGCCAACGCTTGCTAGGCTTCCTTGACATTCGGCTGAACTATCAGCCTCCAACTGGCTTCCTGTGAACCAACCAGTTTCAGGGACCCATAAGTATCACAATGGGCTTGTCTTGAACTGGTGTGAAACATAGCTTCTCGGAGCAAGGGTTTTTCAGGACATCTGAAGCCACTGGCTGTACTCAAGCCACTGGATATTATGCCTTTTTCGCATGGAATCGAATTTAAATCTTGGAAATCGGTCCCAGGATCGGCTCATTCTCCGCGGAGGTTGTGAACCTTGGGCCCATGGAGAGGCGGGGTTTCCGCAGTGGCAAGCCATTGCCGTAAGACAAGACGCGTGGAAGGCCATGTTTCTCTACACCCCTTGGTGGGTTCTATGCTAGCGGGGTGGCAAGCCCTTGGTGACCAAATAAATGGATCCGCAGATTTGGTGAGCCTTCAGGCCAGGAGATCTGGCCCTGCCCGTGGTGAAGGTTTGCGCCTCCGAGGCGCAAGCATGCGAAGAGTTCGTGGTGGAGTTTTGGAGTTGGCGCCACTTCTGGTTGAAAAGGGAAACCCAATTTGGTGGCTCCCAGCCATCCCTTTAAAGACGTTAGCTGTTTAGTGTTTCGTGGTTGGGTTTCCATTTAGCTCACTTAAAGGTAAACTTCTAGCGGGGGATCTGAGGACAGCCCAGCAAAGGGGCACGCAATCCAGTTTTTTGTTGTGGTGGTGTCAGGGCATGCTTTTGGTTAATTGTCAGGAAACCAAGAGGCCCCCCCCCCATTTTGGGGGCCCTTTGACAGCCACCTATACCTAGACGGCGGTGTTTTGGGGGTGCTGGATTTTGAGTGACATCCAACCCGACCTGCTTCCCACGCATCCCGCCGCACAGCTTTGACGGCAGGCCGCAATTGCAAACCGATGCTGAGGGTTTTTTTGTTTAGCCCGGGCACCATCCATCCATTCTGAATCCAGGGATCCCTCGAACCTTACCCTTAAGACCTAGTTCTTGCAGTTCGACGGCAATTTTGTCTCCAAAAGTTCACAAGTTGGAGCTCAAACCACACTCTTGCTGAGTTCAACGGTCCTTAATCCCCTTGAGTTACCCAAGGATTTGGTCCTCTCAGCTTCCCTTTGGGGATGGAACCTCGGATTGGAGCCTCCATTTCGATCAGCCCAGGCTTGGAGAAATGGCTGGTCAAAGACATGTGCCTAAAATCGCCTCAAGACAAGCACCACAGATGGAACCAACGAACAAAGCGGGCGTGTTGGTGTTGATTAATCTTGAGCCACACAATCTGTGGAAGAGGTCATGAGGGAGATGCAGAACCCGGAGAACGCCAATGCCTTCTTCGTGCTGCCCTCGCAGTTGAACGGCGCTGAGTTCCCCTCCCACTGCTTCTTGGCATGGCCGTTACGCGGGGATGGCTTTCCCGAGACAGACAGACAGCCCATGCCTTTTTCAGGTTTCCCTCTTCAGTTCTTCCCCCCTGGCCACTGGGGTTTTGGGTTAGGAAGGGGAGCTTGTTCAAAATTTGCTCCAAGTGTGGCGACCTTCCACTCAACACCCATCTTTGTGCGCAAGCCTGCCATTCCAGAGGCGAATTTAGGCCATGTTCAATCCAAGACTCAAGAGCTGTGAAGCAGTTTGGTCAAGGCTCACGACGGTCACATGCCAATGTCGTGTGTCGCTGCCAGTTCAAACCAGGCATCAGGGAGCATATTGTTATGGCGATTTCCAGCCATTCCCTTGCACGCATGTTTTGTGCGTGTGGTTTAGTCCGGAATTACATGAGCTCTCCTGGATTTAAGCCATATCCCACTAACACAACTTACAATATCTAGCAGTTTTACTTTGCTTCAAAGCATCATCGGCTCGTTACATCACTAAGTGATGTTGGCTTTGCTCCTTCCTCGATGCCGAAGAAGCGATGCGAGCAGAACTCAGGCTCGATTGTGGCCAGTGTCGAGGAGTACAAGTACGACCACACAGGCCGAGTCGTATTTTCACTGGGGCCTCCAAACCTTGGCTTCCCTGTCCTGCTCCTTTGAAACCACACCCTATTCCAGGATGCACCCATAGGCAGGGTTCGATAGCGCTTGAACCTCAGTACCCCCCAGTCTGCGTTTTCCTGAGGAACGCCCCGAGGCTCAGGTTGTTTGGTCTCTGCGCCAAATGCATCAGGTTGCCCTTTCGAAAAAGTTACGCATACAAAGCAAGAGGAGGACGTATTTCCATTTTAATAATAAGGCAATGAGGTAGCTTCTCGAAAAGAGTGTAGGTCCAACTGCATGACAACCAATGCATTGTCTAGAGTCCCTGTGTTGAATATTGGTTTAAGCACTGACAGATGTAGCATGGTGCCAATGCAACGGTTTTTGGCATATTCCATTCTTAGGGGTCGCATGTCTTGACGCATTGTCCCCCAAGTACATTGCTTTCACACCGCCCTTTGAAGTGGCAAGGTATAGAGGGATGATCATCCCACTGTGGCATCTCCCAGTTTTGGAGGTGATTTTCCCCCGCGCCAGCTCAACCGATCTGAGTGGAATTGTTTGTGCGAATTGGGATGTTCTTTCAAGGTCACTGCTCCTCCAAGACCTTCTTGGAGACCGTACTTACTCCCTGAGTTGCCGTTTTTCACTTTGTCATTTTTGTGAAGACCATTTTAGGTGTAAACAACAAGTTTCCAGACTTCTTTCGGCCCATCCACTCAGCTTGGTGGCTCCCAGCCATCCGGTTCCTCGGCTTTTTAGCCTTTGAGTGTTTTTCGTGGTACTTTCCATTTAACCCGCTAAAAGTTCGTCACTTTTAGCGGGAGATCTGACAACTGGGCAGCCCAGTCAAGTGAGACCAAGTCCCAGGGCCTTTTGGCTCGGGCTGCGCATCACTGGCAGGGGGGCCTTGCGCCCAGCTGGCGGCGCATCCGGCCTTGGCGCAGTTCTTGCTGCACAACGCAGCGACCCACAGAGCCTGGGGCTGAAGCAGATCGGCACGGCGCCATGACTTTTCTCAGCGAACACGCTCTATTTTTCCAGGACACTTGATGGTTGTTGTTGGGAAACTTTTTGTTTATTTTTGCTTATTGTGGTTTAGTGGTTGAACTCCCCACTGAATTGCTAAAATACATATATATATATATATATTTATTTATTTTTGCTCCCATACTTCCAATTGCTTAAGCATAGTTTTTTCCCGGTTGGTTGTACAGGGAATCGAGATCACTACTGGGAAAATTTGTTTTGATGATTTGTTTTTTTTTTTCAGGGGACGTATTCGCCCCCACTTCACCCATCACACCTTCGGATGGAAGGTGTTTTGAGTTCCAAAGCTGAAAACGTGCCCTCGGGCAGTTGAAGTCCATGTTGGCCTGTAAGACTATCCTGAGTTTTGATAGCAGAAACTCCCCTTAAGGAATGATGTCCCAACTTAATAGCGTAGCGCCGAGCAGGGTCCTTCGCTTTCCTTGGGGATTGGACACTTCATCATTTAGTTGCATTTGTTTTCTGCGGCGAGTGTCCTGTCAGCGGGATGGCACTTAGCAGTCAACAACATCCAGTTGAGCACGGATAGACATCATTGCATTCTTATTGTTCATCATATCCAATGTATCCACAAGCTGCTTTTGTGCACAACCAGTTTCAGCTAGGTGTCCGGGGCCGGAGTTTTAAGCGTTTCTTCTTTTCTTTTGTTTGGCGAGGGTGCAACCGCTCCAATTCAATCGGCTCCAATTCGCTTGCCGAGTGAGTCAGCGCCTTGTGCCGAGGTTTGCGGAGCCTTGGCCCCTTTTGATGCTCAGAGCATGGACTTCATCGATCCAACATGAAGTCTCCAAAACAGATTTGGCAGTGGTTCAACAAACCGGTGCCAAAATGGGTTGCCCTGGTAAGTGGAAACATGGACCAAAACCTGCGGTTTGCCCCTTCTGGTTAGTTTTGAGCCACACCCAAGTACAGTTGTACTTTAGGGTAGACTCATTGAGACAGGGCCCTTTCTCTACCAGTGAACTGGATTTCGGTAGCGTCCATGATGCAAAAGCCTACGGGTAGAGCACTTTGCGTTTTGTGCTTGGTCCTTTCGTGAAGGAGCACCAGTCGGTTCGGTATGCAGCAAATGACGGCAAATGAGCCCCTTCTCGGCTATTTACGGAACTATTTTTCTTGATCTAACCGCTATCGTGAGCACATAAACAACCTTTAATGACCACATGATGATCATTATGTGATATTGTGGATAGACAAACTCCATTTCGCACCACCTCAGAAACACTGGTATGTTTTGATTTCCCCTGATTTTTTTCAATACCAACAAACGTGCTGGTCTCAACCATTGTTTCATTTCGTGGTGCGATTTCTGGAACCATCCCACATGTCCATGGAACCATTCCCTCGAGCTGATCCGGCCGGGCCTGAGGCAAGCCGGCAGGCATCAATGCGGCTCGACAGCTCGTGAGTTCGGACCTGAGATACCAACGCCATGTGGCTGTGGTCAAAACCGTTTGGGGATCCCATTTTGGGGTTGGTGAAAACCTATTTTAGTGGGAATATGTGGGGCTTGGGATGTTCACTGGCGGGGGGTACGATTTGGGTTTGGACCCATGGCCATGTCAGCGCGGGTGGAACTGGTTGGGTTCCTCCTCTTGCTGGTGCGAGAAGTAAGGAATGAAAAATGGAATGAACCCAGGAATTGGTCCCCTTAAAGGACACCACGAGTTGGATCGTTTACAAGGGTCATTCCCTCATTCGCTGCCTATCGCACCAGCAAGTCTTCAGAGGCCATTTTGGGTTTGGGTTCTGGAGCTGGATGGATGCGTATATTCCAATATTAGCTACCGGTGCTGGAACTGCTTGGAACCTTTGCAGTCACGGGCATGTCCCTTGTTTTGGGCGCTTGTATCACCAATGGCTTGTAAGGCAGTTACACCTCAAACAAGGGGCATGCCTCCATTCATCCAAAACCACTTGGAACTCTTCTTGAGTTCAAGAAACCAACCGGAACTCAGGAAGGCTGCCTGGTTTTGACATGCATTCCTGGCGTGAAAACTTGGACAGTCAGCATTTGGCTTTGAAGGGAATAAGAGGATACCAGACACCACGACTGTAGGTACCTCACGCCTCTGCAAGTTGCGCGGCTGGTGCCAGTGGTTTAACAAGCCAGGGGCAAACCAGCGCCTCAGGTGGCGCATTAGGAACAAGCAGCCCTGTGTTTGAACAAACGGAAAACGACAGGCGACGCTCACATGTCTACAGCATGAGACATCATGAGACGCATGTCACGCAGCCAGTGAACCAAGGCAGTGTGAATGCCTCGCTGCTGAACGCCGGACTCACTAGCAAGAAGCACACGTTCCTTGGTGGCAGAGCTATGCCGTTTCACACGGAATGTCATGGCTCAAACATGGTGGTGGTTCTTGCAGTGCTAGTCACTGCTCAGGTTTTGTCACAGGGTCAATTTCATGTTCGTGCCTGAGGTCGGCTGAAGATTAGGGGATGGTCCCAATCATAAATCGGTGCGACCGCCTTTGTAATTATTTACATGGTTTTGGGTGTAGTACCAGGTTCTGATTTTGACGCTGCTGAGGTTTGATGTTGTGAACGGCTACCTCAAAATGCCGGTACCGGAGAGTGATGAGGCGGATTCATGCGGTCAGTGTTGTTCTGAGCGGTTGGTGGGCTGTCCAGCCTGTGACTTCGCCCCCAGACTTCGGACACAGCAATACCAGGCTTCTAAGCTCAGGGAAACCAACTAGCAGGGATATTGGGGAACCAGGGATACGGGAGGATTCCCCGTTTGATGCACCTTGACTAAGTTCAATTTTGGCGCCAAGGGAATCCCCCCATCCCAGCTCCCTTTGTATCCCCGCTTGTTCGTTTGTCCCATAAGAGGTTGTAGATCGCCGATTGTTGATGACTCTTGCAACCAAGACTGGAATGTTCTGGAGGCTTATGACGAAACGCGGAGGTTTGCCTGAGCTGGCTCAGATCTATCCTGGAGTCCAGGCCAAAAGCCATCGAAAGCTTGGGGGTGCCGAGAACTGTTTTGGTGGTTTCTTCCGAGAAGACCTTCTCCCTTTTTGCTTTGGCCAAATTGGTATTGCTAAGATTGAGGACTGCTATGTTGGGAGTATTGTGGATAGTACGTGGCATTAGCTTTAGTGTTTTTTTTAAAGTTTGTTGGCTCATTGCAATACAGATTGCACAGGGTTGAACCTTGAGTCTCTACATAAAGCCAAGAGTTTCAAGCCCAAGGGGTAGAGCACTTTTCCACGGTGTCCCTTGGCTTCCCTTGGCCAAGGGCCTTTTTGTTGCCGCCCAAAGGTCGAGCAACTCTGGGGCCTTGCGCCTTTTGGCCTTCGGATCTCTGAACGAGGTCGTGGGATCTGAGCCTCCAGGTGTCCAGAAAAGCCCTTGACCAACCAGCGAAGCCGTGAAAACCAAACAAATCCACCACGGATTCCGGACAGGAGCACAGGAGAAGCAGAGGTGTGAAGAGTGTGAAAAGCGTTCGATGTTGCGGAGCCAGTGTAGTTGGGGAGCCCATACGTGTCACCCTTCTTTTCGCAGCAAGCCCATTGGCCATGTTGCTTGATGTAAGGGAACCTTTAGTCTCTATGATATGTCTTTGGACTTTAACTTGGGAAGCAGTTAAACTCCTAGCAATGACTCCTAGCAATGACTCCTTGCATTGACTCCTTGCATAGACTCCTAGCAATGACTCCTAGCAATGACTCCTAGCAATGACCCCTAGCAATGGCCCCTTGCAATGACTCCTAGCAATGACTCCTAGCAATGACTCCTGGCAATGACTCCTAGCAATGACTCCTAGCAGTGACTCCTTGCAATGATTTCTAGCAATGACTCCTGGGCAATGACTCCTTGCAATGACTCCTTGCAAGGACTCCTTGCATTCACTCCTAGCAATGACTCCTAGCATTGACTCCTTGCATTCACTCCTTGCAATGACTCCTTGCATTCACTCCTAGCAATGACTGCTTGCATTGACTCCTAGCAATGACTGCTTGCATTGACTCCTAGCAATGACTGCTTGCATTGACTCCTAGCAATGACTGCTTGCATTGACTTCTAGCAATGACTCCTAGCAATGACTCCTTGCATTGACTCCTTGCATAGACTCCTAGCAATGACTTCTAGCAATGACTCCTGGCAATGACTCCTAGCAATGACTCCTTGCAATGGCTCCTAGCAATGACTCCTGGGCAATAACCCCTAGCAATGGCCCCTTGCAATGACTCCTAGCAATGACTCCTAGCGATGACTCCTGGCAATGGCTCCTAGCAATGACTCCTTGCAATAACTCCTAGCAATGACTCCTAGCAATGACTCCTTGCAATGACTCCTTGCAAGGACTCCTTGCATTCACTCCTAGCAATGACTCCTAGCATTGACTCCTTGCATTCACTCCTTGCAATGACTCCTTGCATTCACCCCTAGCAATGATTCCTAGCAATGACTCCTAGCAATGACTCCTAGCAATGACTCCTAGCAATGACCCCTAGCAATGACTCCTGGGCAATGACTCCTAGCAATGACTCCTAGCAATGACTCCTAGCAATGACTCCTAGCAATGACTCCTAGCAATGACTCCTAGCAATGACTCCTAGCAATGACCCCTAGCAATGACTCCTGGGCAATGACTCCTAGCAATGACTCCTAGCAATGACTCCTAGCAATGACTCCTAGCAATGACTCCTAGCAGTGACTCCTAGCAATGATTTCTAGCAATGACTCCTGGGCAATGACTCCTTGCAATGACTCAAAGCATTGACTGCTTGCATTGACTCCTTGCATTCGCTCAGCAATGACTCCTTGCATTGACTCCTAGCAATGACTCCTAGCAATGACTCCTAGCAATGACTTCTAGCAATGACCCCTAGCAATAAATAACCCCTAGCAATGGCTCCTTGCATTGACTCATAGCGTTGACTGCCTGCATTGACTCCTAGCAATGACTCCTAGCAGTGACTCCTAGCAATGACTCCTAGCAATGACTCCTAGCAATGATTCCAGGCCAATAACCCCTAGCAATGGCTCCTAGCAATGACTCCTAGCAATGACTCCTAGCAATGACTCCTTGCAATGACTCCTAGCATTGACTCCTAGCAATGACTCCTAGCAATGACTCCTAGCAATGACTCCTTGCAATGACTCCTTGCATGGACTCCTAGCAATGATTCCAGGGCATGGCTCCTTGCATTGACTCCTAGCATTGACTGCTTGCATTGACTCCTTGCAATCACTCCTTGCATTCACTCCTATTAATGACTCCTAGCAATGACTCCTAGCAATGACTCCTTGCGTGGACTCCTAGCAAGGACTCCTGGGCAATGACTCCTAGCAATGGCTCCTTGCATTGACTCATAGTATTGGCTGCTTGCATTGACTTCTTGCAATCACTCCTTGCATTCACTCCTAGTAATGACTCCTTGCATTGACTCCTAGCAATGACTCCTTGCAATGACTCCTAGCAATGACTCCTAGCAATGACTCCTGGGCAATAACCCCTAGCAATGGCTCCTTGCATTGACTCATAGCATTGACTCCTTGCATTGATTCCTTGCAATGACTCCTATATGTTTATTAAAATGAATTTTATTTATATCTATTTCTTGCTTATTTACTTATAATTTAAACATATTTTTCCATTACTTAATTCATTATTTTCTTCTTTAAATTGTCTAATTGTATTTCTATTATTTTGATTCTCTTTTTTTTAAAATTATCTATAGTTAATTTATTTTGGGTATCAATTTTCCTTTTTTTTGTATTGTATTTTCTTGTAATTTTACTGATTTTTCATTCTTTATGTTTTTAAATTCTTTTTCAACACTATTTTGTTTAATTTCATCAACTTTTATTACATGGTAACATAAATGATATTATATTTTTTATTTCACAATTTTTTTTAGATTTGATCTTGCATTGATTCCTTGCATTGACTCCTTGCATTCACTCCTAGCAATGACTCCTAGCAATGACTTCTAGCAATGACTCCTAGCAATGACTCCTGGGCAAAAACCCCTAGCAATGGCTCCTTGCATTGACTCAAAACATTGACTGCGCTTGCATTGATTCCTTGCAATGACTCCTTGCATTCACTCCTAGTAATGACTCCTTGCATTGACTCCTAGCAATGACTCCTAGCAATGACTCCTTGCATTGACTCCCCCTAGCAATGACTCCTAGCAATGGCTCCTTGCATTGACTCCTAGCAATGACTCCTTGCATTGACTCCTTGCATTGACTCCTATATGTGTATTAAAATGAACTTTATTTATATTTTTCTTATTTACTTATAATTTAAACACATTTTTCATTAATTATTTCAATATATTTTTCTAAATTGTTTAATTGTATTTCTATTATTTTGATTTTCTTTTTTAAATTGTCTATAAATAATTTGTTCTGTATCATTTGTTTGTATTGTATTTTCTTATAATTTTAATGATATTTGTTTTTAACAAAATTAAACTCTTTTTCAAAAAAATTTGTTTAATTTCATCATATTTTATTAACTGATAACATAAATGATACTTCTTGAATATTAAACTTGTGCTGGTGCTGGTGCTGGTGCTTGTGCTGGTGCTGGTGCTGTTGCTGGTGCTGGTGCTGGTGCTGTTGCTGGTGCTGGTGCTGGTGCTGGTGCTGGTGCTGGTGCTGGTGCTGGTGCTGTTGCTGGTGCTGTTGCTGGTGCTGGTGCTGGTGCTGGTGCTGGTGCTGGTGCTGGTGCTGGTGAATTAGATATAATATATTTATACTTATTTATAGTATATCTTTTATTGAGCATTAAATTTGCCTATAATTATATATATATATTGAAATATATAGAACCATATTCAATTTGAATATTATTGATTCCAAATTTATTCAACACCAAATTTGTTAAAGTTATTCGTATTTGTTTAAGATATATAAATTATAGCCAAATTGAATGATCATGCTGATGATGATGATGATAATGATGATGGTGATGATGATGATCATGATGATGGTCATCATGATGATCATGATGATGATGAGGATGACAATAATTATGATCATGATGATGATGATGGTGATGATCATGATGATGATGATAATAATGATGATCATGTTGATCATGATGATGATGGTGATGGTGATGATGGTGATGATGGTGATGATGATGATCATGATGATGGTCATCATGATGATCATGATGATGATGATGATGATGATAATATTTATGATCATGATGATCATGATGATGATGGTGATGGTGATGATGGTGATGATGGTGATGATAATAATGATGATCATGATGATCATGATCATGATGGTGATGGTGATGATGGTGATGATGGTGATGATGATGATGATGCTCATGATGTGAGTCTGTGTCTTGTGTCTGTCTGCTTGTGTGGGGGTTGCTGGGCTGCTGATGCCTTGAACTTGCTGCCTTTTGGCTCAGCATCAGCAGCTCCAGCCCTCCCCCACCTGCTCCGTCTCCTCCTGGACCCCATGGGAAGTCAACGTACTATCCTGTGGGGTCCAGGAGGCAGGATGGCCAAGCCGACCTTGGTGCCTTGGCTGCTCTTAACTGTCTGTCTGTCTGTCTGTCTGTCTGTCTCTTTCTGCTTGTCCCCCACCTGCTGCCCTGCCCAGGCGTGCCGAGGAAGGGCCGCTGGGTGACCCCCGTAAAGGTCGCCCAGCTGGTCAAGATGGGCTGGCCTCTGACGGAGCAGCAGGTGGGCTTTGTCCTTTTGTCTTGGGATCAATTGTCTCCTTCCATTGGACCCACAAGAGTTAAACTTTTGCGGAGGGGTCAACAACCGCAAACGAGTAGTGATAGAGTCATGGGGATGTGAATCAACCCCATCACAGGACTTGCTGGTGCTTAGCAGGGAATGAAGGAATCACCCCTATAAACCATCCAACTGGTGGTTTCATTTAAGGGGACCCGCAGGTTCATTCCCTGGCTGAGCCGCAGCAAGGTAGACCGTCACCTATTAACCCCCCGACAATACTTTCGCCCCAGGTTCATTCCATTTCTCATTCCCTACCTGTCGCACAGGAGAAAGTCGGCCCCTCGGCCAGGCTGCATCCTCGGTACTGGCAGCGCTCAGCGTGCAGCTTCAAGCGGCGCAGCTGCGGCTGCTGGTGGCGTCCGAGGTGCCGGTGCTGGGTCTGACGCCTTCCAAGTGGCTCGTCCGAGAAAGCGGCAAGAGCTGAACCTGATGAGGATCAGAGGTGTCCCTTTTGGCCGTTTTGGTTGGAAAAACAGATGGGTTTCGATTCCTGGTTTACCTGGTGGTTTAATATCATCTACCAGGGATATCCATCTATTTCCACTAAAAGGACACCTTTGTGAAGGATCTTCCTCGAAAACTAATCCAAAGACTGAAACTGAGGTCGTTTCCTCTTGGCTCCCATGCAAACGACCCCAAACTGGGATTGTCTCGATTATGTCTTCCCGAAATAAGTGGTTTCCTTTTAAGTCTCAGGGCGGAGGCTATGTTTGTTTTGGGGGGAAGCTTGAGATGTAAGGAAGCCAAAGGCAGCACCAGCTAATTATTTTGAAAGGTTCCACTTTAGAGACACAGTCTTAAAAAACTGACTCACTTTGCCAATGTGTTTGAATGGCAGCTGGGATCCAGCCACATGGAGTCGGTTGAGAATCCATAGATGCGTGGCTGTTTCAAGGCAAGCCGAAAGGGACTCTTACCTTGGGCTACAAAAGAAATGCTGGTGCGGCGTGTAGTAGTTTCCCGATGGAGAATTGAACAACATGGACCCGCTAGCCATACATAGTGCATCTAATACACGCATATGTTGGCCCCCCGAGTTGGTGTCCGTTTAAGTCAGTTTGGTTCATGGATAGGTTCCACTGGCTTTTGGAACACATCTATCTGTCCAAAATGGACAGCTAGGAGAAACACAATGAGTCCGCGTGATGCCGGGGAACCGCGACGTGACAAGGTATTGATGTTGTGTGCTGCCCATGCGACCTGCATGTTGAGAATAGATGTTCGCTGCCAGTGGCCCAATCTGACCCAGAGCAATCCTGACCTTGTTCTATCCTGGGTGCAAAGCTCGTGTGCTCCAGCTAAGCAGAGGACGACAATCAAGCCCAACACATGCAGGCAAGTCATGTTAGACTGCAAAGAGAGAAGCCTGGGCTGCGTGACCGTCAGGTCTTCCACGCGTTCAAAAGTTCGCAGTTTGCAAAAGCACGGTGTCGCACGTGCGTAAGTGCAGCGCAAGGCGGCAACTTCGCGCTTGTCTACGGATGATGCCTCGTTGTGTTTTGTTTGGCCTGCCACTAGCCGTGCTCCAAGGAACGTGCAGGCCCAACACATCCCCGCAAGGCAGGTTAGCAAGCAAAGAGAGAAGCCTAGGTTGCTTTACAAGGTAATCATAGGTGTCCCTTTTGGTTGTTTTGGTAGAAAAGTAGATGGCCCTGGTTTACCTGGTGGTTTAATCATCTACCAGGGCCATCTATTTGACCCAAAAAGGACATCTATGAATAGCCTATGAAGGTAATTATATGCAGAAGTGCAGGCGCAACTTGACAGTGTTTGTCGTTTCTACGTATTGACTGGCGGAAATGTTGGCTGGTGGGAGCGTGCTTGCGCTTGAACAGCTCTTCGGCACATCATGGCAAAACTTATGTGGCACACGAACACAAGAGACAAGGATTCGAACAGGTTGGCAGATTAGTCGCCAGATCTTTGTTGCCGTATGTTGCTCCCAGTGCCGTATATGTACGTATATCTATCTGTTTCTGAGGGTGCCCTTTGATAATTCAAACCAAGAGGATTCCCACCATTTTTCGGGGTGGCACGAGGTTTGGTCCAACAATTCCCGGATGAACTCGTGTGATTTTATTATATGTATATATATATATATATGGTACAGCGTTGCCAGCCCCCCCCCCCTCCCCCCCCAATGGTCATGGGTCAGGCAAGTACCCCCCCCCCCCCCCGTGGTTGTGGTCCTGTGGTTGGGTTGTGGTGGTTTAGGGTTGGTTTAGAATTGGTTTAGGGTATATTTAGGGTGTATTTAGGGTTAGTTTGATTTAGGTTGATTTATGTTGATTTAGGGTTGGTTTAGGTTCAGAGGTGTACGGTCGGTTTAGGGTTTGGTTTAGGGTGTATTTAGGGTTGGTTTAGGGTTAGTTTAGGGTTGGTTTAGGTTTAGGGTTTATTGTTTAGGGATTGGTTTAGGGTGTATTTGGGGTTAGTTTAGGGTTGGTTTAGGGTTAGTTTAGGGTTGGCTTATGTTGATTTAGGGTTGGTTTAGGTTTAGAGGTCTACGGTTTAGGGTTTGGTTTAGGGTGTATTTAGGGTTAGGTTGCGGGTTGGCCGGGGTGTCGGGGTGCGAGTTCAGGGGGTCGGGGGTGGGACCGTAGGTGCCAAGATCTGGGGGCTCGGGGTCTCGGGCCGGGGGGCGGGGTCCTGGGGGACCATACCATATGGGGGGGGGGGGGGGGGGTAGCAACACGGAACACGGGACCATATATATATATATATATATGTTTGTTGTTTCTTGTTCGGTCGGGGGGTACACTAAAGCAGGTCCTAACGTCTCCGGATTTGTCCAACCTATGAGGCTTTTGAGAGTTCTTTGAGCCAAACGCATGCCCAAAAGACACCCAACGAGGTTTGGTGAAACAACTTTCCAGATTTGCCAATTGTGTTTCATGTTTTATGTTACATTGTTGGTTATCTGTTTTTTTGGGGGGTACACTAAAAGCAGGTCCTAACGTCTCCGGATTTGTCCAACCTATGAGGCTTTTGAGAGTTCTTTGAGCCAAACGCGTGCCCAAAAGACACCCAACAAGGTTTGGTGAAACAACTTTCCAGATTTGCCAATGTTGTTTTTTGTGTTTTTTTACATTATTGGCTATCGATTTTTGGGTGGGTACACTAAAAGCAGGTCCTCCTCACGTCTCCGGATTTGTCCAAACTATGAGGCTTTTGAGGGTTCTTTGAGCCAACCGCGTGCCCAAAAGAGACCCAGCGAGGTTTGGTCCAACAATCTCCGAATCTCCGGATTAACCCATTTGAGGGGGGGGGCGGCACACTAATAACCGCTCTTAACATCTCCGGATTTGTTCCTCTCTATGAGGCTTTGGAGGGTTAATGCCCAAAAGCCCAGCTTCGCGTCACTTAGGACCAGCTTTAGCCAGGCGACGCACCGAGTGAACCTGGCGCCCCGGGCTGCAAAGGATCACATGAAGTTGCAAGAAAAGGCAGGTGCAACATGGGAGAGATCTTCTGGACATGGGACAAGTTGGGGTTGGAAAAAGCAGGAAGGTTCGGGGGATGCTGTTGACCCCTTGTGACGCGTCAAGATCCTTAGAAGGTACAAAGGGACCCTTAGGATGCCACACCGCCCAGGGTTCCCTATACCTGCAACTTCTGGGCATGTGTTTCGCCGCCACTTGTTCTTTGCCGCTGTTGTCGGATGGAACAGCAGAACACAAGAACTGCTGAGGAAGCTATGGGTATTTCCCCTTTTCCTTTGGTTCCTTGCCGGGAACCCTTTTTGGAATTGGTTTTAAGGGAAGCCAGGATCCCTCTATTTGGACACGCACCGCGCGAAGGTCAAAGTGAATGGAAGTTCTCGCGCTTAAAAGGCCGGTGTTTGAATCAAGAGACCGGCGGATTCGGAGACTCGTGAACGGAGGGAGCCAAGTGCTTCTGGACCCAAAAGGCGTTTGCATTGGTTGCTGACTTGTTTGTTTTTGGGGCCTCCTGCTTTCCCCCTCCCCCCCGATAAATCGCTGCGTCGAACAGACACTGTGCGCTATCGCAAAGGCAAAGGCGTGAAGGAATCGCATCAGGGCGCCTCAAAAAGAACGCCTCAAAAAGAACACCAGTGGGTGAAGCATGGTAGACTCGTGATGTGTGGGTCGAATGGGTATGGGTCAAAATTGAACGACCAGGGGACCGCTGGTTTTAGTCCATGGTTCCATTTACCAGGGTTGCATTTTGGGTACCTATTTGTGACCCACAGCCAAATGTCTGGTGGCAGAAGGAACCTCGCAGCTCGTTTTGCACCTACAAGGCAGAAGCCACTTGTGGCTCTCGACCCAAGGCATTTGGCTTTATAAGCTTTTGGCAATTTTCCGCAAAACGACTAAGGCGGGTTTCATCTTAGTTGGTTGTGTCTAGTTTCCAAGAAACGCTTCACCTTGGTTGAAAGGGAAACACATCAGGAAAGACACAATTTGGGGGGCGCTTCTCAGTTTGTGAGACACACACACACACACATTCAGACGCACACACGCACGCACACGCCGAGTTGGAAGGGAAACCCCGCCATTTTGGGTCTCTTTCTTGTGAAAGGCACCCAGTTGGTTGGGGATGGTTCTAGAGCTACCTTCCCCGTTCTTTCCAGGGATCCTTCTTTTCAGGGAACCATCAAACACCCAAAAAAAGCTGCTGGTTTTTTTGAAAAGAGCGATGGTTGAACAGAATGGAAAAACAATCTAACCCCTAGAATGGGGTCTTTCTGAAAGGCGCCCAGTTGCAATGGGGTGTGCTCTGTGCCTTTCCGCCTTCCCGCCTTTTTGGGCGTTCTATTTAAACGACACCCGGCCGGTGGTGGGAGGCGGGTTCGTCGGTGTCGTGAGCGGTTGCGGTTTCAGGTCTACGCCTCGGCGGTGCCGATCAACGCCTACGTGAACGGCATCGGGGCTGTGAGCAAGGGCTTCGGGGACCTGCAGCTCCAGGACGCGATTTATCGTTTTCGGGATGCCACCTCGGGCGGTGCGTTTTTTTTTGTTGACACCTCGGTGAAAAGGGGAAAACCCGAAAAGGGGGGAGAAAAGGCGCCATGGTTCTAGGGTTGATTCCTTGACAATAAAACCATATCGTTCTTTTGAACCATCGTTCTTTTCAATAAAACCAGCTGTTTCCCCTGGGGTTGGATAGTTTTCGGAAACACAGGTCCAGATTTGTCCAGATCCTGGAGGTGCAGAGATTAGAAAACCAAGGGAAAAAGGGTATTTGGAGGGGCAGATGTTGGATTTGTACACGTACCCAATCCAAGTTGGCAGGCTCTCCTCAAAATAGTGACCAAGCCACCTGTGGTCGAAAATTGGTACTGGGCACAATTGGGGGAGGGGGCCCTCTTTTCCAGGGACCAACTTTCGATTCTTAAAGAGTTTTTGGAGCACCCGAACAGTTGTGGCTTCCTGAAGTTCCCTTGTTGGTTTAGGCATCACCTGTTTTCCCTTTGTACGTGGCGGTGTGGTAGTTTGGACATCTAGTAGCGCTGTTACTTGCAGCGTCTTGTGAATCAAGTTTTGGGCAGGGATTTCTCGGTGGTCAAAGAACCCATCTTGGGCCCATTGCTGTTAGGGAACTCGGGTGGTCGGGTCGATCATAGGTTCAGGGCTTGTGCAGATGGCTGGGCTGTACCCGTTTGAAGGTGCGTAGATTGGTTCAAGTCAAATCTGTCTAAGTCATCCCAGAAAGGCTTCAAAGGCTGATTGCTTTATTTCCCTTCCTTTTGATACTGATATGGCAGGGTTGCCTACTCTCCCAATTGTTTCTTGAAACATCACCTTCTGGATTCATTGTTTGAGTGAGTTGTGGGCTGATGTTTGCAGTGTGCTGGTCTGACAATCAGAGAGCCCTGAAATGAGTTATGAAAGAGTAGCTGGAAGAGCCCCTAGGACATGGGGGTTGATCAAAAGGACCTTTACACGGGAAAGCCACGGAAACGATGAATTATATTTTGTCTAAATGGGAAACGTTACCCATCGTCATTTGGGGGCTGAGCGGAATTGGGTTTCACGTCGTTTTGGAGGGGAGTAACTGACATGGAGTCCGTCAGAAGCTCCATTTTGCACGCACCTAGAGGGACACCATCCAAAGGAAACCTGAGGCAACACCGACCCAACCGGGAACTCTGTAGTCCCATGGTCAGGAGTTCCAGCGCAAAGTCGCGGAGCTCTTTCTGGTGGCGCAGCACCTGGGCGGTACTGCAGATCCAGATCATTGAAGACAATCTTCCATTTGCTTAAGAATATTGTTTATTTTCCCCTGTTGGTTTTAAAGGGAATCTATCACTACTGGACTTGTTTTGTTTTTTTTCCAGGGGGCGAAAACGCACATGGCAGCGATGTGTCGTCAGGTCGGGTTTCAAGAAGAACACGATAGGTGTCCTTTGTGGTATAGAAAATCAAAAAGCCTGGTTGGCTTCGTAAAATCTACCAGGACCTATTCGGACTCAAACTGCACTCCCTGATTTCTTGAGACTTTGGTCACTTTTCGGGACCCCCGGTAGGCTGGGTATGACGAGGCTTCGATTTCCTCATATTCAAACTTCCCCTAAAAACAACACCAAATATATATATATATAAAAACAATAAACACTCACCATCATCATATGGAAATGACATTGGGCGCTTGAGCCCCAATTCCAATATTGAGAACAACCTGAGTATCGACTGTGGCTCATTTGTTGTTTGTCCCACACCGCACAATGCCTTGCACCTCGGGTTTGAAAGCTTTCTCAACTTGTTGATGACCGTAGCCTCTCTTTAACAATCTTGGAAGCTAACAGGACAGATTTGCAAACGCTTCTAGGTCGCCCAGTAGTGCCCTTGTACCGTTTCTTTTTTGGGGAGGGTTCCCGTACTAAAATAGACCACAGCAAAAAGTTGGTACCCTTAACCTCTCTACTGGAGGACCTAGGCTACTTTCCTTTCGGGGAACCCCCAAA